GTTAATTTTATATATATATTATATATTTATTTATTTATTTATATCTTTTTATATATTTAAATAAATAAATAAATATTTATAAATATGTGTATATATAGGTTAAAAAATCTGATTTTTGAAATGTAAAAGTTGTTTTGTTATTTTTGAAATAGGGTAAAGATAAAGTAGGGAAAGTGAATTTTTCCCGAGAATAATTATGAGCCCAAAGGCTGCATTGGACTACACCCTAGGTCAGCCGTAACCAAGCTATGTTATGAAATAGTTGTTTCCGCCCTCCGTCTGTCCTGATGTTGAAGCAAGCCGACTACCCCCTACATTTGGGTGATTTCGATTGTCTTACCGATTCTCTTCTCGAGACAAGAAAGAAAGCATGACATCGTGATGAACATGAAGTCCTAAACTATGGAATCCCAAAAAGAGCTAGCCCAACTTTAATGAAACATGATAGCTTCTTTATGGTCTAACATGGGTCGAGTGGAGTGCATAAGTCAAGCATAAACATGGAATAAGATAAGTTGCTAAAGTCATTCCTCCTTTTCTAATCCTGAACGAAGGGATACTCTATGACAGACACTCTCGCTCAGCAACTATCCTCTCACTTGGTTTATGAGCGGTAAAATAGATTGCCTGGTAAAGGAAGCCCTTGCTTTCTTGTAAACCGAGCAACACACTTTGTTGGCATCTGATGCAATACAAAAAGAAGAAGATTTCATGGAGAAGTGATGTTGGCATTGTAATTTTTTGAAGTGTCGGATTTTGGGTGGAAAAAGTACGTTCGACTTTTTTCAGCCAAATTTCATCGTCTAGGGCTCCAAAAATGCTTTTTTCTATTTTATTGATAATTTAGTTTAGTTTAATTAAAATATGATTTTAATTATGGTTGGAATTATTATCTTTAGTTCTCAACATTATCTAGAATTATTTGTCATCTATTATTTAGAAGTTTAGTCTTTATCCAAAATTTAAAAATTGCTTTAAATATGAGTTGTAAACATTATGACAAAAATTCACGTGAAGTTTTTCTATCAAGTATTGTCCCTTTTTTTTTTTTTTTAAAGTATTCGTGAGTGAATTAACAAGTTTGAATTTTCTTTCGAATTTTTTTCTTTCATATAAGCTTTTACTACGTTAGCTTATAAGAAAATTCTATAAGCACTATCCAAACATGCTCAATATTAGACTTAGAATAATTATAGTTAATCAACACGTAATTTATCTTCTATTAATATGAACATTACTAGAACGGTTTAGGCCTTTGTCAAGTAAATAGAAAACTAAAAATTGAGACAAGTGTAGGGTACATTTTTAAGATTCATCAAATAAAATTTGCGTTTAAATTGACATGATCAAGTATAGGGGAGACAATGGGAATAGGTTGCCTCCTTATCAGATTGACGCTAGAGCTGGAGCCATGGACGAATAGTTCCATCAAGAGTCCATGGACCGCACCATGCTCGACAAGTAAAGCTCATGGGAAAGCTTGTAATCCGTCATATTTTTCTAATTTTCTTATTTAGTAAAGTTCAATTTCCTTATTCTTATCTCGCATTTAACTTTTCTGTTGACATCGAAAAATAGCTCCGACACGTGGCCAACAGAATAAGTCTTCGTGTCAGCTCTTCCCTGCACACGTAACACGCCGTTAGTCACCCGTGGCCTTTCCCTAAGGGATGGGGAGCGACCGCGACCACTTCGACGGTCTAGTCAATTTATAGTTTAACCAGAAAAGATTCGCCGACGGTAGAACACTCGTCTGGAAGTGGTTGATAAAGTGTATAGTGATAAAATTGCCAATATTTAAGGGAGAAGATAATACTCAAGTTTTCAATATAGTAGGAGAAAATATTGATTTGAATCCTTCTTCTGATACAAGGAGGAGATATTTATACTAAGGATGGGAAGAGGAGAGTCGTTGGATGAGGAGACACGTGTCACCAGATCCTCAGGGCTCATCCAATTCTAGGTCTCAATTCGTCTCTCCATAGGTTGGTTGTAATTGAATATCTCGACATTGTAGCAGTTCCCTTTCTGCATCATATCTTCTAGTGCTTCCCCTTCCAAATCCAAATCTTCCTCTACCAGAATTATTTCTCACAAATCCTCTACCATAACCACCTCTTCCTCTGTTGTCTCTTCTGTAATCTGTTGCATTGACTGACATTGCACTATTTTCATTAGTCTCTGGAAATATGTTATGCACCTCTCGTTGTTTTTCAACTTTTAATATCATAGAATAAGCTTTGTTCACAGAAGGGAGAGGATCCATAACCAGTATCTGATTTCTCATATGGTCAAATGTGTCATTTAGTCCCATTAAAAACTGAATCAACCGATTAAAAGCAGTTATGTCTGTGACTTCTTTTGATACATTGCAGGTGCAAGTAGGCATTGGCATTAAACAGGTGAGTTCATCCCAAAGTTTCTTCAGCTTAGTATAGTATTTCTCAACCGTTAAAGCACCTTGTGATATGCTACTTATCTCTCTCTGCAATTGATAAAGCATTGGTCCATTGCATTCTCCATATCTTTCCTTTAGTTCCAAACATAGATCTCTAGCTGACTTAGTGTAAATAAATGCTTCAACAATATCCTTTGCAATTGAGTTCAGCAACCATGACCTAACCATGCAATCGACTCTAATCCATTGTTCCAATTTCGAAGGATTCTCAACGGCTGGTTTATCACAGCTTCCATCGATAAATCCCAATTTTAACTTCGCACCCAAGGCTATAACGACTGATCTACTCCAACTGAGATAGCTCCCACCTGTTAATACCGAAGTAACTAAGATCATGACAGATGATCTGAATTTTGGAGATCCAACGGATCTCTATTTGAATATTCTTTTCCCATTTCTACATCTCCAGTTTCTGACGCCAGTAAATCCTGTGGTGCCATATAGTCTACAATTGATGATTTATTTTGTAATCAGGTTCCAGAATTATCTGTCTCTGATACCATGTGCAAAATCAAGCTGTAACTGTTGAATGATGCCCCAGGAGCTGTTGACGTGAAGCTGAGTGGGTTGCTGATGTTTGAGTTGTTGAGGTTTAATAAAACACATGCTGAATTGAAGTGGTCAAAGTCTGTTAGGGTTGACCTACTCTTCTGCCCATATTTGTTGGAATTTTGTTAGGCAACGTGCAGCAGATTTAGCTGCATTCTTTATGCTTTTTCTGTTTTTATAAGTTGTATAAATAAGTGCTTTGATGATCAATAAAGTAT